AGACACAGGTACCGCACGCTGCCCTCGCCAGCCGAGGCGGGGAGAGCAGTAAACAAGCCCCTGGCCCCGCTCCCGGAGCGAGCGAGTTCCCCGTGAGGCAGGGCAGTTACACCCAGCGGTGTCCCGCTGCGGCCACCCTTTCTGGGCAGCCGTGAAGCGAGGGAAAAGTCTGCAAGTCCCTCCCCGGCGGTTTGCTAACAAACACCCAAGGAAAGAGAAGAAACACCCCAAAACGCTGAGCGAGGGGCCGCCCTCTGCGCCTCACACCCCGCCAGCGCGGGTTGACAGCCGTTGCGCTCGCCTCATGGCCGTTGCTCGGCCCTGCCCGGCGCTCGATGGCTTGCGGGGCCCTCTCCATCACCCACCCTCCCTCTCGGGCTCTGGGCTGTCAGACCCGGTGCGGAGGCACCCCGCTCCAGGGCTCTCGGGGCATCTGCCATCTTCGGGGAGCTGCGCTCGGGGACAGCTCTCCACCTCCCCTTGGGCCAGCCTTAGCACTTCGCCAGGGGCGACCGTGGTGAAACCGTTTCTCCCTGCTTTTTGTCACAAAGGGAGAGAAAATACTGCACTTGCACACCTTACGAAATGTTTTTCCCACTTGCACAGAGGCATCGGCTCTTGACCTTTACTCCCCACAGCCAGCAAAGTGAGAAGATAGGGAAGGCTGAGGTCGGGGGTGTTAAATGACAAGCTTTTCGACCAGCGATCCTGCTTCCAAACTCCAAGCCGCACATCTGTTCATGCGTTTGGCAGCTACTCATGTTTTAAGCAGTTTGGGCCTGATGAGGAAGAGGAGCTTCTTGAAAGAAAATCAGCAGATTAAATCTGGATACTTCATCCCTCCCCATGAGACCTGGAGGGCTCGAAGCAGCCTCTTGCATTGTTATGCCACCCCCGTTTCTTCCCTCAGAACCTGGGCTGCTACTGCTGCATCAGTTGCGCCATCCAACTCCCCTGCCTGCCTGTTAAAGCCTCTTCCTCCTTTTTTGACCCTGAATCACTTTCTCCCTCTTACCTACCAGTGGCCACATGGGGAAACAAAACTTAGTCCGAAAGGAAGCACAGATTCTTAAGACCGTGCCTCGTTCAGCACAAATTACTTAGTCGCTCTCCACATGAAAAGTGGTAGCTAAAGAAAGAAAACCATATAATGATGAAATGAAAGCCTGTGTAATAATGCATATTGAATGGGTGTCAGCTTTAAGAATGCCTGGCTTTTAGAATTAATTGACCTTCAGATTTTTTATTTTGCCTGTTTAGTGTCCTCCAATTTGTTTTAAAATAAGAATTTTTTTAAAAGGTTCACAAATACATTTATGATAGTAACAAAGTGCATTTTATAGATGCGCTAATCTTCCTGCATACTCCCTTTGTCTTGTTATCCATGCCCATCTCAGTTAAACATAAAAACATTACACATACACATAAAACAGCAGTAGAATACGGAAAAAATAAAAGCCCATAACAAAGCAAAATATAGCTGTGTGAAATACATAATAATTGTCAAAGGAAAGAGAGAACTTTTGGCCAACCATTGAAAAACACATCTGTTCCCACCAAGGAACAAGTTTTAATGCTTATGAGAAACCCCAGGCCTATCATAAACTTAAATATGCTCAGAATATTTCATAAGCAATTTAACATGCAAAAGTTAACGCTTCACATTCTCCAGCAAGTCTTTGTCCAGAGGCTGTTGTCCAAATCTGTTGAGCTTTCTTACAATCAATCAAGCTTCGTGCACCACAATATAACATTTTTGAACAGTTATGACAGAGCGAACCTTTTCTGGAACCAGATTCAATCTTCATTACGTTTGCCAGCAATGATTAACTTAATTAAACTTTCAGTCGCATAGGAATAAACAAGGGCAAAATCCAAGACTGGATCTTAATATGACTGATCAGAAGGAACCCAGTTCTGCCAGCACTTAAATATGTTTCTACCTTTTAGTTAGACTCCTCAGATTATTTCAGCTACCTTCCTGAATGGGGGCCTGTGAACTGTATAATAGATAGTCAAATCAGCTTGAGGGAAGAACCATGTATGTTTTCTGTTTTGGACAGTGTTCAGTTAAGCACAAGACTAATTCCTTCTCCGCATGTTTTTCAATATAACATTTATGTACTGCAGTTTCACTTCCCCGTTTCCCATAAACACCCTGATGACCCCTCCCCCCCTCCCTTTTTAAGGTGAAGGATCTGTTTTGTTAAAAAAAAACATTGTGAACATATTGTGTGCAACTTCTACTTCTTGGCATTTTTTTAAATAGATTCTATTTTCCAGTTGTTAAGTGTTTCTTATCCCCTGATTAGTATTAAATAACTATTTTCCCTTTCTCCTCACATCGTTGGGAATGGAGAGTCACAAAATCTGATTCTCCAGTACATACAATTTTTATTAATTTGATGGCTATAACTAATCTGCATGTTCCTTCAGTGTTCTGTATCTTATTGTCCTATTACTATTTATCTAAACTAAAAAAAAAAAAGTTTATATTATTAAAAAAAATAGGGCACATGGAGCCTTCCTTTACAGGTCTTAAGCAGCTACCTAGGGAAACTTTGCACCTCTTGGTTCTTTGGTACACTCTGCTCCTGCCAAGAACTAAGCCTCTTCCCTTTCAAGAGAGATTGCTTGAGATCTCAGCTATTTCCTTAGTAGTTACCAAGAACAAGAACAATAAAGGCTTACTCTTCATAGTCGGATAATTTTCAATCCCCACCTTCCATAGAAAATGTACTTTGCAAACAGAATATGGGCAGGTTTGACTTCAGTTTGATTTCTAAAGTTTTTGTAACCCCAACAATTCACAATAAAAGCATTGGGGTTTAAATTCTTGCTATCAAAGAATTAAAAAAAAAAAAAGACTATTTAAAATTTAAAAAAAACAAACAAAACCTAACTCTGGAAAGATACGTAAAAGGAAAGCCACCCTTGTGGCTCGGTTATTTGAACCCTGCATGATCACTAGAAAAACAGTTTAGAGAGAAAGGGAAAAAGAAGGAAGTTGGACATGAGAGAATTGCCATAAAAATAGTGAAAATGAAGAGATTACAGACTTGTATACAGGTAACTGTATCTATTTCAGCTAAATTGTTCTTACGCACAAGGAAAAAAAAAAATCATAAAACCAACACCAAAAGAGAGAGGAAAGTGAAAATCAAGTGAGAATGGATAAGCTGAGAAATGTGATGTGAGAAACATGTTGGTTTTGTCTAAGATTTGTTCCTGTTTATAGTAATTTATTATTTTACATGTTTTATTAATACCCCACAGCTGATAAAACAAACGAACAGCAATTGTGCATGCAAAAGACATAAACCTTGCAACAGACATCTGCTGTGGTGGTACTTAGGTTATGCCTATTTTAGTATCAATATATAAAATGCCAGTGCCAAAGGAGGAATCTGCCCTGTCATTTGTGGGCTCTCAAAAGCCACGGACCAGGAAATGGCATCTTCTGCAACCCTATCTGAAATTCTAGCCAGCTCCCTATAAACACTCACTTGCTTTCTCACAAGCTATTGAAAATAGGCCAGTACTTCAGTAGCTCTCACATGCAGCATTTTCTTCGACCATAAGGAATGTTTTGATTGCCAACTACTTAAAAAAAAATTACCTGTATAGTTGAAGTTAGCTGTTAGTGACACACCAAGACAGCTTTTTCCATAAATCATTTTACTTGTAGAGCATTTCAAAACTATGTAGTATTCTGCAAAGATAAAGTGGACAGGATGCCAAGCCTGAAGAGTACATGTTCAGAGAGTTTAATTCTTCCTTCTTCTGTTGATCTGATTAGAATTTGTACTGTAATCAATGAAAAGGGTATACCTACATCATCCAGGAAAAAAAAAAAACAGTCTTTAGTAAAATGCCTAACTTTGTCCCAGATTTGCAACAAGCAGTACAATAGATGCAATACCGATAAAGCTAGGCACTATACAGAGAGGACATGAGGCTAACACAAAATTTTGTGACCCCTTAGACTAACGCATGCTCTTAATGATTAAGCCTTTTTGTTGTTTAATTTTCAGCTAGTATTAATACGCACCTATTCAACAAAAGGATTTGGCCTTAAGTCAGAAAGATAAGATAAACAGGATAACCATTAAAATACAAAAACATATGGTATCATCAACTGTGTGAAGATCAACATTAGATTAAATCCCATTCAGTAAGCAGTGTTTATGCATCTCGCAGCCAGACAGGATGTTCTACTGATGTTTCAGACTGGGCTCCAGCTGAGTTGTATGAAGCACAGGGACTGCATCTCACTGCTGAAGCAAATGAATCACATTTTCAAAGATAAAAAGCACAGATTTTACTTGTTTACTCTGGGGAGCGTTGGGAGCATCTAACTTTACTTTTAGCATTTGATAATACCTACAGTAAAAGTTTCCTAAAGTGCTATTAGTTGTCAAGATAGAGGTTCCCTCCTACTTCACGAATAGCTAGAGAATTTTCTTTTTTGTTCTTTCAAAAGAGAAAGAGTGAGCAGAATGAGAGAGGGAAAGAGAGTAGCTTAAGTATCTAACCAGTGAAGCTGAGGGTAAGCAACAGGTCCGATGCCCAGTTCTACGTTTATTTAAAACAACAGTTCCAGACTTAACATTTTCCCCTTTTAGGTTCACCTAAAGCAGGGGTTATGGCTCAGGTCTGCTCCTTTATAAATTAAATTTGATTTTAGTTTTTTATTCAATGAAGTGTAGATGGGACTTGACAGGCTGTTATCTGGGACATAGTTAACATATAACTGCTATTATTAAAGGTAAGCAAGTGAAAGAAAGTGACAGTTATTAACTGTAAAAGCCCTCTGCCCCCTGCAAATCTCCACTTGCACAAAGCAAAGTTTTTGATAGCAGTGTAGGATTCCTCTAGCCTACCTTGTCACTGTCTCCACTGTAAGCATCTGATCAGAGCTGGTCATCTGCATCGTGTTGGTAGGAGGGAATAGGGAATTCCAGGGGATGAAGTACTTTAAACATTAACATTTATGATGAGATAAGTGATATTAAAGGAGCCCAGATGACTAGCTTAGATGTACAAGTGAGAACTCTAGGCACCTCAAATCTGGTGAAATTAATCCCACTCTCGGATATTAAGTTGAAGAACATCTTAAGATAATTTTTATTCATACCCCAAACATGGAATATGTTTTGATCCTATTGCTAAATGAGGAAGCATGAAGAATACATTGTCCTAGCATGATCATTCACCTCTTTCTTGGCAGTGAAATAACTAACACTGTTAGCAACATTCTCATTCAGTTTCAAAGTTAACATCTCTTTCAAATGAGCAGGAACTGTTTCAAGCCATTGTTTTAGGCTGTCTTCAGGCTTGGTTTGATACCACTATCCA